GGTGGTGTCCACGTCGTCTTGGGGAAAATTATTACCAAGCAATTAATTGCCAGGGGATTTTTAGGAGAAGAAACTTGGTTTTTGTGTGCTCATATTCTGCCCTCCCCAAGGAGGTGTCCCATCTGCTATGAAATTCTTGACCCCCTTGGAATTGTCAGGCTAGAAGGAGGGGGATACATAAGTGAGTACAAATTGGCTTTTCCGGAGACGGCCTTGGACATGGGATATTTAACCCATCTGTTTTTTCATCCGCACCTGATCAAGCCCACCAAGGCAAAATGGACTTTAAAAGTTAAGGGAGAAACAGTCTTGGATCACGTGGTGTTCTGGTTTGGTTGTGCTGACCAACAGGTGAAGACACGCCAATCCCCCTTCTCCATCTGGGATCTGGCAGGTAAGGCTCTTCTCACCCCAATTAGGAAGGAGGCAGAATGGCAATTTAAGTGTCAATGAGTGGAAATATCAGAAGTACATAGGGTACTGAGAACTTCATAAACAGAACAAAAAGGAAAAGCAGAAGAAGGTCCGAGAAGGTAAGCAAGATGGGGGGAAGTGAATCTAAGGCAACTGTATTGGATTGCATGATTAAAAATTTAAAGAAGGGATTTGGAGGAGACTATGGGTTGAAGATGAAGCCTAACCGCCTCCACATACTCTGTGAGGTCAAATGGCCCCCCGTGGGAGTAGGATGGCCACCAGAGAACAGCATGAACTTAAAAATAGTGGAAGCAGTCTATACAGTAGTCACAGGAGAACCAGGACACCTGGGTCAATATACATAAATGACTCATGGCTAGGGTTAGCTCAAGACCCTCCTACTTGGACAAGGTTATATCGGGTGACTATTTTACAAGGTCTCAAGAGGGGGGCCCGAAAAGCTATGAGTATCGCAAAACCCTCTGAAGTGATTCAAAGGGAAAGCAAATCACCCTCTGAGTTCTGCAAAAGACTGTGCGAGGCCTATAGACTTTATACGGCAATAGACCCAGCCAGAGGCTGCTGGGTCTCAGATGGTGATAAATGCAGCCTTTCTGTCTCTAACCTACCCTGAAAATGTCAGATGGGGGGTCACCAAGTGACTTATGAATTTTTATACATCCCTGAATGGCCCAGTACCTTTGTTAGGAAGAGACTTGCTGTCTAAATTGGAGGCACTTGCTGTCTAAATTGACCTTTCCCCCCATGAAAGACCCACTGTTCGAGTGGGCTTAACCACCTATTTACTCTTCCTCTCAGGAACCCCTCAAGATGAATGGAGGTTGCACAATCTCCCGGCAAGGAAACTGGACGGGCTAAACAGTCAAGAGAGAGAGTTAACTCAACAATTTCCTGAGGTCTGGTCGGAAGACCACCCCCCTCCCCCCAGGCTTGCAAAACAAGTCCCACTGTTAATAGAACTCAAACCCGGTACAATTATGTCGGCACCCGCCTTGGGCCTGCCAGAACTTGCTAAGCCGTTTACTCTTTACATGACTGAAAAGGACAAGGTGGCTACGGGAGTGTTGTCCCAGATTCCGGGGACATGGGACAGATCGGCAACTTATCTCTAATCAGCTGGACAACGTTGCCACTGGGTGGCTGGGATGCTTACGGGCAGTTGCTGTAGTTGCCTTACTGGTCCAGGAGGCAACCAAGCTGACTTTGAGCCAAGATTTGTTCGTTAAAGTCCCACATGAGGTCAACACTCTCCTGCGAGGGGGCCCCCATAAATGGCTGTCAACATCCTGGATTACTCAATAACAGGGACTGTTATGTGGGAACCTCCATGTTACTACTGAGCCTTGTCAGGCCCTGAATCTGGCCACTCTCTTTCTTGTGGGAGAGGTGGGCCCTCACATGATTGCAAAGAAATATGCCAGCAGACCTGACTTGAGAAACCAGCCAATCCCGGACCCAGATTTGGTCCTGTATACCAGTGGCACCAGCCTGGTGAAACAAGGACAATGAATGTCAGGATACGCAGTAGTCATGGGAGAAACCATCGTTGAGGCCTGCTGTCTGCCCTCACACTGGTCCGCTCAACAGGCCAAACTCTATGCTCTAATCCAGGCCCTCCAGCTGTCAAAGGTAAGAAGACAAACATTTACACAGACTCCAGGTATGCTTCTGCCACACTACAGGGCTCTGTATAAGGAGAGAGGCCTTTTGACAACTAGTGAAAAAGATAATAAAAATAAGGAAGAAATTAAGACCCTATTAGATGCTGCCTGGAAACCAGAAAGTGTTGCAGTCATACACTGCTGAGGATGTCAAAAAGAGGATATACCCCCAGGCTCAGGGAATAGACTAGCAGATAAGACTGCTAAACAAGCAGCCGAGGGCTTAGGGGTGACAAGTGAAGCCTGTATTAAAGCTCTCATATTGGCGGAGCTACCTGAGCTAACGCTGGACTCTCCAAAATACCCTGAAGCCCAAAACCAACTAGCCAAAGTGAAAGGGGCCATCAAGACTGAAAAGGGATGGTGGGAATCACCAAGTGGCAAATTATTGGTACTGGAGGAGCTGGCACCCACTCTGGTAAGCCAAACACACCAAGCGACCCATCTAGGCCATGATAAACTGGAAGAGCTAATTAGAAAATATTTCTTGGTTCCCCACCTCTTTTCCCTATGCAGGACAAAATCTCAGAACTGCACTGCCTGCTCACAGGTTAATGCTGCCTCTCGGCACGGACAGAAACTTCCAGGGATTCAGGTAAAAGGCACGCTGCCCTTTGAACACCTGGAAGTGGACTTCACAGAAATGAAACCTCACCGACACTACTATTACCTGCTAGTCATAGTATGTATGTTCTCAGGATGGGTAGAAGCTTTTCCTACCTGGACTGAAAGAGCATCAAAAGTAGCCTGGTGCCTGCTTAGGGAGATAGTTCCCAGATTTGGATTTCCTACCAGCATTGGATCAGACAATGGCCCGGCTTTCATAGCTGATTTAGTATAACAAGTAAGCAAAACTTTAAACATCAAGTGGAAATTACATACAGCATATAGGCCCCAGAGTTCTGGGATGGTGGAAGGAACCAACACGCCACTTAAAGAGACACTCTCCAAGTGGATCCTAGAGACTGACTGCTCCTGGGGGGACTTGTTTCCGACGGCTCTGCTCAGACCCAGGATGACCCCACGGTCCCATGACTCTTCTCCGTATAAAATTGTGTATGGGAGGCCCCCGCCCATAATAAAACAGGTGCCAACAAATTTGCCTCAGGTAAGGGGAGATGAGATTTCACAGCAGATAGAACAATTGGGTGAGGTAATAAATCAGGTAACTAAGTTTGTACAAGAAAGGGTGCCATTCCCCCTTGGGGAACAGATCCACGAATTTGTGCCCGGGGATCAGATGTGGTCAAGGACTGGAAACACGACTCCTTGGCCCCAGTCTGGAAGGGTCCATATACTGTTGTTCTAACCAGACCGACTGCAGTTAAAGCTGCAGGTGTCACTCCCAGGATCCACACATGAGGGTGAAGAGAGCATACCATGCAGACCTGGAGGACGCCGAGTGGACTACACAAAAGGACCCCACTGATCCCCGTGAAACCAAGATCATCTTAAAGAAGAAAAAGAGATGAAGCTCTACAATCAACTGCTGCTACAAGGACTTGCTGGTATCATCTTGAGACTAACCATAGTTTCAGTATAAACAGGGACCTGTGCTATAATCAAAGTTGCATGTGCGTATATATTCCTGATTTATCTGGCTATATATCAGCCACCCTAGATGATATGAAAGGTCTGGTAAAAGTTACATCTGATGATAATCTTCCTGTTTGGACTTTGGTCCTATCTTGGGTGAAGGGTGATTGGTGGAAAACTATATTTACCATTGTTATAATTGCCTTAATAGTTCTGCTTTGTGGACCCTTTATTTTACAATGTATTATGAACTTTGTAACCCAAAGGTTGATGTCGTTCTCCCAAATTGAAGGTTGGAGAGTCAGGGTGCAATATATCCCTATGACTGATGCTCATACTATGAGTTAAGAGCATCAGGAGTGGGGAATAAAGGAGGAAAAGAGACAGACAGGCCCCATCTTGAAAGCAGGACTCCATCTTGGGCCGGACTGTGGACTTTGAGCTCTATGCCCAGTATCTATGGAAACAACAAACCAACTGGAAAACCAGGCCCCTTGGATGCAAGAGCCCCAAGGCTCGTACCTAGACTCTCTGTTGCCTAAATGAATACCCTAATTATCTGTGTAACAGAATAGAATCACAAATTCTATTATGCTTATTGGGGTATGACCACAGGCTTATTGATAACTGTCCACTGTTAACTACCTAGGCTTAAGGTATATCAATCACAGGTTAACTTTGTATCTTTCTTTTCCTTTGCTCAGACTAGTTTCAGGGAATTTGGGAGGTGGGTTTGGGCACATAAACTTAGGGTATATAAGGTTTTCAGAAAAAACTGCTCAGGGTCCTTGGCTAAGAGGAGACTCTTCCTTGGGCCCACCGGTGTAATACACTGCACTCCACCATCTGCATTGTCCTTCTGAGTGAGTTTGTTTCCCAGACCGCGTGGCTAAAACATAGCCACTAGTCAAATCTGTCACAGAGGAACTGGGGGGACCTTAAAGAGCCATAACAGAGCAGAGGTGACTAGACAACGCGCGCCAAAAAACAGAACAATGCAAAGAGAGCCCTGAGGGCACAAAGGAAGTATGAAGGAACTATTTTGTGAAAATGCGGGTTTAAAGCAAGCCTAAGCGGCTCTCCAGACGAGCACAGCGAAAAACACCTGGCTTGCAGCATGAAAAACGGGTTAAATTCAGCGCGCGCTGGGGGCACGCCGGGCCGTCCCTCGGATGCAGGAGATTTCGGGAGATTGCGTGAGTTTACAGGATTCCGCTTTCGCTTATTGTTCCAAATGGAATCAAGCCTAGGTGTACAATCTAGACGCAGAAAGGCACGAGGTACCGCAGGTTCCCCTAGGTGAGTTCGGGCGGATATGACATCACGTGAGGCGAGCTACTTGGGTCTGCGCAATGCGGGGCTGAGGAGCCAGGCAGGGCGGCGCGCGCCTGCGCAGTGCGGGGCTGAAGGCCAAGCCTGACGGCGCGCGTGCGTGCTGGCGTGCGCACTTGCGTGCGTCCGGGTTTAGTGCGGTACAGGCCCGGTGATCACCGGCGCAGAAGTGCTGACGGAACGAGCCGAGTCTGGCCGTCTGTGGGAAGAGAGGCGAGGTTCAGGTCTGGGCCATGGGGAGCGCGGCTCAAGCTTAGGTCGTGGGGGCGCGGGCCGCCCACTGTACCCCTAGAGGGTCCCCGAACCGGGGCGCATCCGGCCGGCGTTTAGCCGCGTCTGAGGAGGGGGCGGTCTCCCAGGGTTCGCAGAGGGCGCCGTTTGCTCGCCAGCGTAGTAGCAACGCTGAAGCTTCTAGAATTTGCGTGCATAACATCGCACCAGCATGGAGCTAGTTAATCTTGTGTTTGTTGACATCGTTTACTAAAATCTGTGTTGCATGGGAAACAAAGTGCAGAAAAATAGGTTAAAAGCGATTCAGACCCCCGGCATAGCGGCCGTCGTTTACAACGAGAGAGCCTAAGTGCAAAGAATCTTATCAGGGTTGAGTGTAGCGTGGGGGAATTACCATTTTTCTCTGTTATTTTTTTTGTAAAGCGTGTTCAAATATGTAACAGTGTTAACCGCCCCCGAAAATTTAGTGCAGTTACTGGAACTAAAAAATAAAATCCCCTCCAAAAATCTCAGGGGGTAATTGCTAAAGACAGTATTTCTTCTTCTATCCATTAAGTTTAGTCGTTTTTCTGTGAAATAAGTACTTGAAAAAAGGCGGCTTTGTATTCCCCTCTCCCGGAATTGTGTGAAATGAAAGGCCTATGTGCTTATGTCTTAGAAAGCTTCATTTACAATATATTAGAAATTAGATTTTTATAAACGTGATGAAATCTGAACAGTAACCAGTTATGTTGGCAATCTTGCTGTGATGTCATCTCAAAAAACAGGAACTGAAATTCTGTTTAAGTCAATATTAACCAAAAATGCTGTTTTATTGTGTTTTGCCTATCAAAATCTTTTCCCTGGGAAGCACTTGGTTACTCTGCTTAAAAGTGTTCCTTAATCTTTAGGTTTTTAGGTCTTCTACGGTTGCAGTGAAAGTTTCTTGAAAATCTTGTTTTGATTGAGTCTATAATAAATACAACATAAAAATGGCTTCAAAAAGAGCTCTGGTCATCCTGGCTAAAGGAGCAGAGGAAATGGAGACGGTGATCCCTGTAGATGTCATGAGAAGAGCTGGAGTAAGTCCCTCAAAGTTTTTTAGCCCTCCTCCATTTGAAAGCATTTTTGGATTCTTATAAGTGATTTTGGATAAAGTAGTGTTGAATGCACTTTCTGAAATATTTCAAACATACGCAGTGGTACAGAGGCTATGTAATAATTACCTGTTTATCTGCTGTCCACATTTAATATTGTTAACGTTTTACTATATTTCTTTCAGACCTGTTTCTTGAAGACAAATGCTTAAAAGGAATAAACACTGCAAACCTCTCTTTGTTTATTTACCTAATTCAGTCCCCTTTTTGGCCCCAGAAATAGCTGCTCTCCTCACAGTGATGTGAATTCAGCCCATGCATGTCTAAAGTAACATTAGACTGTGGTTCTCACTCTGCATGTCTGCATTGTAAACCTTTATACACCCACATAACCATAATGAATGCTTAAGTATCCTTTACTGAGTGGTGGATACCATTCTAAGCACTTTCACTAGTTTTTAAAACGTTAAAATCACCTTAAGAGTTATTGCCATCCTCATGTTACAGTTGAAGAAACAGGCGGAGAAGCAATCAACCTGTGAATCAGATATTTAAATAAGTGAAGTAATCACATTGTAGTAAAGAATGTAGATGCAGTTTATTTAAAATTGCTGCTTAGTATTGCACTATGGGAATATGCCCAGTCTCCATTCCTCTATTGCATTGTTTTACAGCATTATAGTGCTGTAATACTCTTTTTTTTTTGGTCCTGGTTTTATTGAGATATAATTAACAAACAGCATTGTGTAAGTTTAAGGTGTACAGCATACTTAAATATATCATGAAATGATGACCACAGTAAGGTTAGTGAATATCTGTCATCTCGTATCAATACAAAATAAAGATGTAGAAAAAAAATTTTTTTTCCTATGATGAGAACTCTTAGGAATTATTTTTAAAAACTTTGGCATATTACATACAACAGTATTAATTGTTCCTATCCTGTTGTACATTAATTTCTAATGCTTATTTATCTTATAGTTGAGCATTTGTAATATTCTTGTGCAGGTTTTTCTTGTTTAAAGATATGAAAGTTTTTCTAGGCTCTGAGCCTAAAAGGAATTGCTGCTTGCATATATGACGTTACTAGATTTTGCCAAATGACTCTCCAAAGTACTAATATGTGGGCCCACCAGCAGTGAGGAAAATTCCTGTTGTTCTCAGTATTGTCAACTTTGTGAATTTTTGCAGGGCAGTGGAGTAGTATTTCATCGTCTTAACTTGCATTTCTACCTTATGAAAATACCAGGAGGGTTACAGGGCAACAGCAGCTTTGCAAGGTGTTTTATAGATAGGATGATCATATGATTTATCTCACAGACAAGAACACTTGTGGAAGAAAGGAGGCTAAGCAGATGGGGTACTGGGACAGCATCTCTAATTCATACTGTCAAGCGAACTGGGACAGACCTAGTGGTTAAGTATATTTAGCCAACTTAATAGCCTAAAGTCAGCATGGTTTTGTTGCAATATTTCCTGCCAGGTTATTTTAAAACACAGGCCAGCTGTGAAAATGTTACTCTAAATTTATGTGTCAGTGTTCTTAAATATCATGATGACGTCTTCCTCTTAGATTAAGGTCACCGTTGCAGGTCTGGCTGGAAAAGACCCGGTACAGTGTAGCCGAGATGTTGTCATTTGTCCTGATGCCAGTCTGGAAGATGCAAAAAAAGAGGTTTGTTCTCTAGACTTGGAATCGTTCCTTCCTACCGCTTCTTTATCAGTTTCTTGAGCTCTCTCTTAGCTACATCTAAAACTGTCATTAGCACAGACTTATTTTAAGAAAGTTACTTTGCTTAGAGGTCTTCAGCACTAAATTAAGCCCTGGGGAGTGGAGAACTTTGCCTTTTTCCACTCTGTATCCTCAGAACCTGGCAGGTCCCTGATAGCTCATGTGCTTGGTGTGGGTGGATGGGCAGGACACTATCACTAGTGTTCTGGCTCATACGGGCAGCTTTGCCTCCTTCTGTAACTACATAACTTAGTGTGAGAGTCACCTGCACATTTCCCATTCATTTCTTACCCTTTATTCGAAAGCTGCTTCTTATCTTTTCTTTATCAGTGACACAGACGTGGGGTTGTGTGATTCATTTTACACGGAACAACTCATACTTGATTCGTGGTTGGATTAAAGGAGGAGTGAGTTCTCCTTAAATTGTGTCACTTTTTCAGTATCTTCAGAATTGAGGTTCTTCCTTTTGTGGGGGACCAACACTTTTGGGAATCAGTCAAGAGCTGTGGTCCCTTTCCTCAGAAGCATGCCTGCCCACACGTACCAGACATGAGCCTGTGCTTTCACAGGGCTCAGGCTTCAGGGGCCAGTGTGACAGAAGTGTGGGGCACACCCTCTTAGAGCAGCGATGGGGCAAATCACCACCCATGACAGCTTTTCTGTGCTATGAGGAGCCTGGGAGTAGAATTCCCCATACCTGGCTCTCCTCAAAAGCGTAGAAAAATGTATTCCTCTCTGATAAATTCACATATCTCAGTGCTAGATTGTGAAGTATAAGAATGTTGATATTTTGTAGAAGTTGTTGAATCTCTAAATAGCAGATTAAAAATGAGAGAGTAGCAATATGTGTTTCTTGCCTGTTCTTTTTTTGTCCTGTAGGGTCTGTCTGAATGTTCTAGAATAGTGGTTACATTTTGTGTCTGTTTATTGTTCAGTTTCTAAATGGAGGGAAAGAAATTTTCATACTTGACAGATTTTAAGTTTTGCTTGGCTTTGAAACAACATAGGACATTTCATAGTCTTTAAAAGTAATTAGTATATGTTGGAGTAAAAATGTACTAGATTTTCATTTTATTATTTGCTTAATGACTAAATTTTTTTAAAGCTTTTTTAACATTTGAAGATCCTGTATTAAATCAATTTCTATTTCATAATTTAGGCAAGTTTGAAATCATTAGATTTCTAGGGTGTTTTGGTATCTGAGATAATAAAATATTGTGTCATTTTTTTAATACCCGAAGTTCCATTTTACTTAAGGTTAAAACATTCTTTTGTGTCTTTTAAAGTTTTTTTTTAATTACTGTGTACATTCTTGTTGAAAAATATCCCATACAGTGTAGACAAACACAAAGTCACGTGTTATTATTAATGTCCCTTTCTCATTCTTCCCTTCCATGCTCCCTTCATCAGTTGGCAGTTTCCTTTGTCCATGAGTATCTATACTGTACATGTGGGTGTGTGTGTGTGTGTGTATGTAGACACACACATACGCATTCACATGCATTTATTCTTTTTACAAGAATGAGCTCATGCTACACCTGCAATTCTGCAGCACAGACATCATTTTGTGTTACTAGTATATGGAGGTTTTCTGCATTGTTGGCTAGTTACAGTATTCCATTATAGAGAAACACCTTGATTTATTTAACTTTATGAACAATATTTTTGCTGTGACCATATTTAACATATGAATGTGTTACTGTTTAATGCACATTTCAAATAAAACATTTTCACTTTCTTTTCTTATTTTTTAAACTGTTACAGGGACCTTACGATGTGGTGGTTCTGCCAGGAGGTAATCTGGGTGCACAGAATTTATCTGAGGTAAAGAGAGTATTTCAACCTCTTGTATTCTATTGTTTTTGTTATTAAAATATTTCAGGAAGAAGGCTGTGACTAGAATAAGAAAAGATGAACAAAACGGTGTTCTAGCGTAATTTAAAAAAAAAAGTCATTTCTAATAACATTTACTGTAGAAGTAAGCAGAATTGGTGGAACAGTTGTGAATAGATTCTGTGAATAGAGTCCAAATGTAAGATTACTTCCCCCCCCACCAAACAGCAATAGAATGATTATTTTGTGCTTGTGAAGGGTTAAGTATTGAAAGGTAAGAGGTTGGCTCTCTACTCAGCCATTGGAGTAAGGGAGATTGCAGGAGCCTAGAGCTGCCAGCTTGAATGAAAAATGGTATAAAGGAAGCCACTGCTTCTTCATTCTGTTATGTGAAGCATCAGCCTGCAGGAGGGAAGAGAGAAGGAGGTGAGAGGGGCAGGGACTTCATGAGACAGAAACTCATGAACCAACCAGGTCAAGTCAGACATTTGGGACCTTGGGGCGCTCTCCTCACTTTGCTGTCTGAAAAAAAGAAACCCAAACAGCACCTTTCCTCTTTTCTGGATCCCCAGAGTATAAGATGGCAAAGGTTAGCATGCCCAAGGGAAATAGCTTTTCTCATCTTATCTTTAAACATCTTTAAGGAGAGGGTACCCTTTTCTATATAAATGTTGTAGTTGGGTTTAAGCCTGTAGAAACACTGAATTTGGTAGTTTTCATATTGATGATTTAGCAATATTGTTGAAAAACAGTCAGATGGAAGATCTTGTGGTTAAGCTAAAACCAGATTCTACTGAAGTTTCTAGCCGAGATTGGCTGCGGCTTAATGACAATTTGATGTACTTTGGTTCTTTGACTAGTCCACTGCTGTGAAGGAGATACTGAAGGAACAAGAGAAGAGGAAGGGCCTCATCGCTGCCATCTGTGCAGGTAACCTCAGGCCGGCCCCTGTCCAAGTGTGTCTTCAGCTTGCTTCAAAAAACACAGGACAGGGTTGTCTTTGAGTACGAGACTGTGTTCCCAGTACTTCTTCCACTTCCTAAAGCATGAAGGGCTTCTCTGTCAGTGTGTTTAGCTGGGGGTGTGAGGTTAGTATCATGTCAGAAGTGACTGCAGTTCCTCCGTTTTCTGCCTCTCCCTGCCTTTGGTGTACCTTCTGTGGAAGCTGTTGTTTTCTGTGTTTGATGGACCTGGAGGAAAGCAAGGCCCCTCTGGAATTGAGTAAACAGTTGTTATAGCCAGTCCCATTGCCAGAGAGGACTTCTGCCAGCACAAGGTTAGCAAGAATCAGGCCAGGGTTAACAATCACAGATCTGCCCTGAGCTTGCCCCGGGGGCTTCCCACCTGGTCCTCAGTGTTGAGCTCCATGTCTGAGGTACTGTATATTCTCTGCCACATGATTTAGAGGAAAGGTGGTGGTGCTTTGCAGGGGCCCTCACATCTTTGAAACCTAGTAATATCAGTGCTTTGGTTTTTGATACCATTTTAAAGTCCATTCTTTTTGCTCTAATATGAGATGATATTTCACCATCTTCCATTTTTTTCATAGTGTAATATTGGCAGGTGCCTTCCTTATTCATGGGTCTTCATTAAATGTTTTATCAAGAGAGCAGATAAGTCAATGAATGGATGGTTAGACAAAATGACACGCTATTTTGTTCAATATGGTAGACTTTTTAAAAGAGATCATAGTCATAGGCTGGGGATCTGGGGACTGTGCCTTAGAGCAGTAGTTCTCACAGTCTTTCCAGAGGGGTTTGCAAGGGCAGAGCAGATACTGCTCACACATTATTTGCCTTTTTGCCTTTAATTCTCACAGGAATTACATCAGAGAATGATAATGACATCATTCAGGCATGGCTTTCGAGCTAAGTGTTCTTAGCTCAAAAACCTTTCAAGTTTTAATTTCTGGCATGGCAGTTACTGATAAATGTAACTCACACTAATAGCTGAAGGGACCCTAAGACTTGAGTGTTTGAGAACCCCCGAGTAAGAGACCAGGAAGGACTGAGGGGCACCCACCTGGCAGTCCTCGTCTTTGGGCTCCAGTCAGCACCGACCTCTGACCTGCCTTTGCAGCTTAAGGATTTCTCTGCTAGAGGACACTGCAGCCCACGTAGCTGCACTGCTTCTTAAGGAGGAAGACATCAGTTAGTTCAGTCACTCAGTCGTGTCCAATTCTTTGCGAACCCGTGGACTCTAGCACGCCAGTCTTCCCTGGTCATCACCAGCTCCCAGAGCTTGCTCCAACTCACACATGTCCATTGAGTTGATGATGCCATCCAACCATCTCATCCTCTGTTGTTCCCTTCTCCTGCCTTCAATCTTTCCCAGCATCGGGGTCTTTTCCAGTGAGTTATTTCTTTGCATCAGGTGACAAAGTATTGAAGCTTCAGCTTCAGCATCAGTCATTCCAGTGAATATTCAGGACTGATTTCCTTTAGGATTGACTGGTTTGCTGTCCAAGGGACTCTCAAGAGTCTTCTCCAACATCATAGTTCAAAAGCATCAGTTCTTCAGCACTCAGCTTTCTTTATGGTCCAACTCTCACATCCATATATGACTACTGGAAAAACCATAGCTTTGACTAGATGGACCTTTGTCAGCAAAGTAATGTCTGTGCTTTTTAATATGCTGTCTAGGTTGGTCATAGCTTTTCTTCTAGAGATCTCTTCAAGAAAATTAGAGATACCAAGGGAACATTTCATGCAAAGATGGCCATAATAAAGGACAAAAATGGTATGGACCTAACAGAAGCAGAAGATACTAAGAAGGAGGAGGACATAGGTGCTATTAGTTGTGTAAGGACTTAGTCCAGTCCACCCTCACCCCACCCCACCCGCTGACCCCTCACCTCTGCGCATTCTTAGTGCTTAGTGCTTTGACCAAAGGAAGAGAGGAAGCGTTTGTATTGGGTTTCCCCCCTTAGGATTGCTGAAAGCAAAAAATCGCATGTCAGTTTGTCATTTGTGTCACTGAGGTAGCAGAATCATGAGCTGCTTCCAGTTCCCAGTGTTGTGCTGAGGCAGGATTGACTCCCAGGCTGTTAAGACGTGCAGCCCTTGTCATCATTCACGTCCACGCTGTAAACAGCGCTGGTAACATGTCATCTGGTTAAATGTCCTGCACTGCTCTGCTGGGTGCTACAGAAGACCGGAGAAGCATGATCGTGTGTTGAGGAGAGATTCGAATGAGCAATGGCAGAGATTGGGATGTTTCAATCAGCAGATGAGAACAAAGATGAGGCTTAGATGTTATACTTAGGGATTGGGAACGGTTTACTGAACTGAAGGAATGTTAGCTTAACCCCTAGTAATGAGTGAGAGCGAGAGAAAGAACCTGGAAGGGAGGCTTTCTGGAGAAAATAAAATGAGACTGGTGGAGAGGAGGGAGGCGTGAGGGGTATGGAAGCTAGTTGGCAGGTGCTGGGCTCCAGGTACAGGCTCAAGCTCTGGGACACCTGGAGAGGCTCGGACCCTTTCCATAAATAACCACATGGTGGCGCTGTTGACTTCCCCTCTGGTCCTCCCAAGGTGATTCTGTCCACTGCCCTCTGCTCCCAGCTCAGAGCTGGACCCCTATATATTTATTTATATATATGTGTGTAATTTATTTACTTTTGACTGTGTGCTGGGTCTTCATTGCTGTACAGCGTTTTCTCTAGTTGAAGAGAGCAGGGACTACTCTTGGTTGTGGTGCACAGGCTTCTTACTGCGGTGGCTTCTCCTGTCGTGGAGCACAGGCCTGGGCTTCAGTAGTTGCAGCACGTGGGCTCAGTAGTTGTGGTTCTCGGGCTCTAGAGCACAGGCTCAGTAGTTGTGCACTGACTCAGCTGCTCTGTGGCATGTGGGATCTTCCCAGACCGGGGATTGAACCTGTGCCTTCTGAAGTGGCAGGCGGAGTCCTTACCCCTGAGCCACCAGGGAAGCCCCCAGCTAGGATTCTCACGCCCCAGAAAGCCATAATTTTGAGTGTACCATACATTTATTAACATCATTATAGGCAACAGTTTTATCACCTGGAGGGAGCAGCCTAAAAATTTCTAACTCACCATATCACCACTGTCCTCAAGTATGATCCATCATCTCTTGAAATTTGCTCTAAAATGTACTGGAGGAAATGATTGTTTCTTAAAATCTTATAAAATAAGAAAGATAATGAATCCATTCAAATAAAATTGAGTGATAATTATGACAGACTTTTAAAATTTGCTTCCAAACACAGCTCTTGTGTACAGATACAAGTAAGGAGGGAGGAGACATCAGGCATGTTTAAGAGGCTTTTGATGTAAGGTATAAATGAGGACTTTGTCTAAAACTGACACCTGATGTTAGACCGACAGCTTATGTAATTAGGTGATATTGTTTGATCTTCCTGTTAGTAGCTGCTAAGATCTTGAGTCGACCATAGGTTTGTTATGTAACTACTTTTTCCTTGGACCTGTGTTGAAAAATGAAAGGTCAAAAGAGCAAGTGCTTGGGTTTGCTGGAGCTGAAGTGTGCGAGTCTGTCTTGGGACCTTAGCTGCAATGCCCTAACCATTTAGAAGGTCACAGTGTTCTTCTGAAGTTTTTCTAGGTTTGACATGAGGCGTTAGAAAGTTTTTCTTCGTTGTTGTTGTTTTTTTTGACTTAGAGAAAAAAGATAGAGGGACTCCTTTTTAAAAAAAACAGATTTAAAATAACAAAAGGTAAGAAATCTTTCTGATTTTAGTGTCTATTTGAGAATTGTTACAAAATGATTATCAATAAAGTTGACCACTCATTAAAGTCTCAAGTTGGCACCTGCATTTTTTTTTTTTTAACCTTCATTTTAAGAGAGACAGTGTAGAGGACCACAGCGGGCATTTGTGCTGTACTTTTCTCTTCAGTGCCTGGTTGTAAGAAAGAAACACCAGCGCCTCTGTGTCTCAGTCATGTAGGCATTTCACGGGTGTCTCCTCTGGGGCTGGGAAAATGTCCCATTCAATTTAATATGTTCATTTAATATATGCCACCTGATATATTTGGGTAGATGGGTGAGTGCTGATCTTTCATTTTCATGTAGAAAAGTAAAATTAGTCCATGAAATAGCAGTCAAGCCCAGAGATTCAGAGCATGCTGGTTGCGTTTAATGTATAACTAAGTCTTCTATTTGCAAAGAGGCAAGACGTTTAACCCTTGGTGGTCTCCCATTCTTTGTACCCCTGTTAGACTTGCAGCCTGTTCCTTGAGGGGGCATGGTTTGTTTATCTCTTTGCTCCTTAGGTATAAAGGTAAATCTTTCTGATTAAGTGGTTATTGAGGTGTTTTGAGTTTGTACATTTTTGCCACACGTGTTCTGCAGATGGTTGATTATAAACATACTTTACCTGTCATACTAGTAAGTGTTTAGTTTCAGAATCATAAGTATATTTTTAGGTAAGAGCCCCCTGATGTAAAGAATGCTCTTGTTGCTGCGGTTTTAAAACATGGGTTTTTCTGTGCACACACTTAAATCTCTTTATTCATCTTTTTAGGTCCTACAGCTCTGCTGGCTCATGAAATAGGTTTTGGAAGCAAAGTTACAACACACCCACTTGCTAAAGACAAAATGATGAATGGAAGTAAGTACACGTTTATATTCTAACGTGCAAAAAGACCTACTCAGAAAGCTGTGCTGTGGCATTGTCTCCCACTTGGAATACATTTTGTACATAGGGGTTCTCTGTGGGTTGGGGTGTGATGTGTTCCTCACTTTCTTTGCAAGTGTTTTAATGACAAAGACTGGCTAACGGGGTGGGTCTCTGTGTGTAGGTTGCCTAACGGGGTACAGAGGCTGAGCCAAAGGCCAGCCGGGTTCCTCGTGGTCACAGATTGAAGTGGTTGCAAGATGCCAGTTTAACTAGTTTACTAAATACTTTGCCAGCAGTCTGAGGATAAAATTTAAACCTTGGTGGCAATTTCAGAGGGTGCCCTTTTGCCCACAGTCCAGAGTAAAATGGACATTGCTCCCTTCCTGCAGGGGAGGCCTGCTCCTTCATTGACAGGTTCCTTTGTAAATATTAACATCAGTCAGACATTTAACTTTTGTACATTTATTTTTATAAAAACAATTTTCTATTCTTGGTAAAAGAAAAAAACAAGCAGTACAGAAAGGAATGAAGTAAAAGTAAATGATTCCCTTCTCTCTGACCTCCCTACCCCCTTTCTACTTTTCAGAGGTAACTTCTGTTAGGTTTCCTGTGTAACTCTAGAACTTTCTTTGCACATACTCATTATCCTTTGTAGTTTAATGTTTTTACTCAAATGAGAGCTAGTAAATATGTTCTGCAGCTTGCTTTTCAAACCTAACATTATACCTTTCTTCTCCCCTAACTTATTTCTCTAATGTTACTTGGTACTTGGAGGTTATGTTTTTAAAAACACATGTCATTGTCTCTGCCCTCCAGGAGTTAATAGCTTGCAGAGACACGTGCACCAAATTTAAAAATATATCAGATTTCAAGTTATGAGGCAGTGTATAGCTAGCGGCACAGCAGGGTCACTGTGCTCCTGGATGTGCAGCTGTGTCGTGATGGATGCTGCCTCAGAAACAGTGCTTCTCGGTGTGTGGTTCAGAGCACCAGCCAGGCAGTGTCTTCCTCTGCCACCTGTGCCTGGCGTGCATATCGAAGGGAGCAGAAACCGAAACCTGTATAGAGAAAGGGACGTCACACAAGTGCGGATATGTGCAAGGGAATCAAAAATTCCCACTTGGAAACCATGAGTGACTCAGCTGGCGTTCAACTGGTGGGGAGACTTGGTGACCAGCCCCATTTTTAAGACATTCACTAACCAGCAGCCAATGGCTACATCAAAAGACTGATAATATCAAGAGCAGATTTGAAAATAGCTGTGCTGCTGATATTTTCTCGCCATATCAGTTCTGCTCTGGACTTACTCTGAACTAAAAGTAGGGCAATTCATGTTTTTTCTTCATTCATCCTTTCATAGCAAAGTAAAGTGATGCATTTTTCATTTTACTGCCTCGTAAAACACCACCTTATATTTTAAAGGAGTGTTAGGTTCGCAGCAAAATTAAGCAAAGAGTATAGAGTTTCCATAAACCCTCTGTGCCCCCATCTCCACCTCCCTCCCCATCCGCTTCCTTTCCCACACAAGACGGTACCTTTGTAACAGTCGATGAACCCGCACTGACACGTCATCACCACCCAAAGTCCATAGTTTACCTTAGGGTTCACTCTTGGTGTTGGACATTCTGCATATTCTTAGATTTGATCCAAGGTAGTATGTTTTTTTGAAAAATCTATAGTTTTATTTTAGTTGATAGATACTAAATTGTCAATAAAAACATCGATGTGAAAATTGATTTTTTTTTTTAAGGCTCTGACTTCTGGGCATTTTTTAACGTAGGGGTCTAGTTTACTTTGAGCAAATGGTGGGATTTTGGAGGGTCAGAAGGAGCAGAATCAGGCTTCCATTAGCACTAACGACTTGTGAGAAGGAAGAAGCGAGTGGAACGTGTTCCCCGTTATCTGCTCATGTATCTTTGTGGCTCTTTCCTCGTAACACCTCAGGAAGACGAGGCTGATCAGAAATAGAAGAATATGAGATTGTTGACTCTTGGGCACTTACAGGGTACATTCACATGTGTTTTCTTGAACCTGGCAGCCCTGGTACCCAGTAAGGCACGTATGGACTTCACCGACAAGGAAACAGGCCACTTGCCTGAGTCGGTCCCGAACTGGGGCCCTGTTTCTGTCCACATGAGGCCCACACACACTGAGGTCACCAGGTGTTGGGTTCAGTCAGCAAGACCTCTTGTAAGAAAAAAACATTTGCAGTGTCTGCATTCTGAGAAGTGGAGCTGTAATCACTTCCTGGGTGAGGAGGCCCTTCTGCTTGTCCTCATCGTGAACTTCAAATTAAGAGCAGTGTGACATTTTTTTACTCACATAAACCATCCAGTCTGAAGGACAGAGTGTTTCCATTTCTCAGCTTTAAAATAAAGAAGGGGTGACTTCAAATTTCTGTTCAGTTCTCATTTCTGTGGTTTACTGAGCGGCTGGATGCCAGCTCCCAGGGACGAGCAGGGGCTCCGGAGCAGGTGACTCCCATGTGGCTCCAGCCCCACCCCTCCCTGCCCCCAAGGGCTGGTCCTGTAACCTCACTGGGCCTCGGTTTCCCCATCTGTCACCTGAGGAGGACCGTAGGTAGCCCCTGCCTCTCAGGGCTGTTGACAGGCTCCGTGAGTCAATGTGCGTAACACACCTGGACGTCTGTGGGTTACTGAAGCTGTGTCAAAGGGCCCACCAGTCAATGCCTGGCTCTGGGCTGAGTGCTGGGGATGCAGAGCAGACAGACTGCCATCACCAGGCAACTTGTTGGGTTGGCATCATGCCCATTTTACAGGAGAGAAAAACAGGGAGGTCAGACGGCTGTTAAATAGCAGACTGAGGTTTGAATCTGGCAGGCTGACACCTGAGCCGATATGCTCAGGGGTCAGTGGCTTTTCCTGGAAGGGCTGGATAGTAATGATATAGGGCTGTCTGGGCCACCACGTCTCTGGGGCTCCCAGACCACGGAGGTGAGGGTGTGCAGGTGAAAGCGGCTGTTGGTTACTACCCTGTGGTCCCTAGCCTCCCCCGTTGCTTCGTCTCTGGGCTTTGAGAGAGGCTTTGGGGTGTTTGCTTAAAGTTAAAAAGGAATGAACACCTCCTGCAGGTTGACCAGGAATGGCCTGGTGGGCAGGTGTCGTTTTTCTCCATCTTCACCGCTAGGTGGAGGTGGTCTGTAAGCAGACCCTTAGCTCTTCTTGGCTGAGATTTTTGAGAAGAACCGGAATTTTTAAACATTTGTAACCAGTGTAAGCTGTATTTGTAGCATTTTACCGACAAAGAGGTTGTTACCTGAATCATTTAGAGCCGTGCCTTCACTGTCTGTCTCGGTGTCCATCTTGGCTCCGGGTTCTCTACTTCAGTACTTGGGATGATCTCTAACCAACAGTAAATGATGTTAGGTTAGGTAAACCTCTCCCCTGCAGACTCGGGATCCCCTTTTCTTCTGTAGAAGGGTAACTGCGAGTGCTCACGGACTGTCGTCAATTGTTTCACTGGGTGACTTGATATGTGATGAGGAGAGGAAGACCTGAAGCAGGGCAGTGGTGTTCATCCCTGGGAAAGGACAGGCACGTCAGGACATGATCTCTAAAGATTGCTGGTGCAGCAGGAGCATCTTGCTCAGGTGTGCTCTTCTGTGTGAGCATCAGACAAGCATTTCCTGAGCTCTTCTTTGGGCTTCGGGGACAGAAAAGGGGACAAGATCAAGCCATGTTCTCGGGGCTTCTCAGATGGGGAGGGGGTAGAGGTTGTGTGGTGCTGCAGACCCGACTCTGCCTGCAGGGACCAGATGTGGCAGGATTGCACAGAGGACCCTTGTGAGCTTTTGACCCCGGCCCTGAATCTGTTTGTCCTTCAAGGGCTATGTCATTGAGCAGTGTCATCATGCGGCCGGGCGTCCTCATTGGTGTCTCCCCATGTCCATTTCCTCCCCAAGGTCTTGGCATTTTATCTTCAAGACACACCTCGGACCTCCATGGCCTCTGTCCTGTCCAGGTCACTGTTTACTCCCAGTGGGTTCTTCTTTGTCTCCCCTCTGCTTCTTTCTGCCCTGTCTTTGTGCGCAGGCTGGATCCCAGGGCTTGTGTACCATGATGTGGAGTTGAGGGTCACTTCAAGTTGCCAGAGAAAGTGGTGAAGGCTTCTCTTGGGGGGCACCTGGGTGTGCTCTGGTTTGCACTGTGGAATGTGCCCTGTTTGGTGGCACTGAGTGGAGGGAAAGGCAGGAGGAAGGGGGGCTGCATGCAGAGGCCTGCATTGAGGCAGCAGGCAGGGAGTGTTCATTCACTCTTTCCTTCACCTGATACTCGGGAGCACCTCCCTGGTGCCATTAGCATTCTAGACTGGATGGGTAGGTGAGGCCTCAGCATTTCACAGACCAGAGGTAAACAGGAGCCAAACGGTTTCCTGGGTGCTGGGAGGGTGCGTGATAGAGTGACCTGGGGGGCCTGGTGAGGGAGGGGTCCATGCTGAATTCAAAGGAGTGAGTTGCTGAGGGGAGCTTTCTGGGCAAAGGGAGCGGCCCGGGCAGCTCCTCCAGGGCCAAGGGGACTTCAGTGCCCTCTGTAGCAGAGCTGCAAGCTTCAGGCGGGAGAGTGGGCCCTGGGGCGCTGCAGGATCAAGGGGCCAGGCCACGTGGGGTGCTGCTGCATGGGAGGAGTTTGGGCCTGGTGCTTGTGCAGTGGGAGAATTTGGTGACTGTCTGATGTGGAATGTGAGGGTGGGGGGTGGTTCAGGGAATCCCAGCTTTGAGCCCTCAGATCTCTTCGGAGGTGGTAGTGTTTACTTCATGTGAATATAGGAGCAGCCTGTTTCTTACTACATTTGCAAAGATACAGCCAGCTGTGGCCTCCGAAAGCAGGCAGTGCCTGACGAGAAAGTAGGTTTCTCTCCACTTGAACCTCTCTCTCCCCACCCATGACACATTGTGCGTGGTTTCTGCTTGTTTGCTTTGGAGGCAGCAGAAAGTGTGCATCACCCAGGGGGTCTGTATATTACAAGTCATTTCTACCTTCAGCTCTGGTTCCCCTACATCCCCCTTCCTCCAGCATTTTATAGGGAAGGAAAAATAATTTTCCCTTGTATCCTTCTGAGTTCTTAGTTGAGACCCTTGTTACAGAAGACAGGTTGAGTGGAGAAGAACAAAGTTTATTGACATGTATACTTTATGTTTGGGCTTCCCAGGTGATGCTAGTGGTAAAGAATCTGCCTGCCAATGCAGGAGACCTCATTGGGGGCTGTGGAGGCTACTGCGGAGGCCTGGCAGACTACAGGCCATGGGGACGCAGAGTCAGACACAGCTAAGCAACTGAGCACTGTAACTCGTGTTTACATGGAAGAGCCCCAGGGGAAAATGAGTAACTCCCTGAGATGGTTTAGAATTCTGGCTTAAATTCCATCTTAATAGGGGAAGGGGAGACAGGCCTCTCAGGGGAAGGTAATTGGGTTTTTGGAAAGATGAAAGGGCCCTTTGAAGAGTAGATGGGAGGAATGATAGTTTATGACAAGGTTTGTCTGAGTGTAGTATCAGCTCCTGGTTTTCTCTTCTGATTGATAGAACTTCTGGGAGGGGATTTCTGATAGCTGAGTTCCTTTTGGACAGTCAGTGTTTAGGCAGGAAAGGGGATTCAGAGAAATCCTCTCCCTTTCTGTCCTGCTGTGTTCTGAGAGCTGGGGGTGCCTAATGGAGTTATGAGTGACTGGCTATAGTGTTGGTGTTGTGAGCTTTTGCTTTTTTAAAAATCTTGGCTTGTTTGTATTTTCATTTTTGTGAGACAGTAGTGTGCAGTAAGGGAATGAAAGTGTTGAGTGGTGTTCATGGCTGTCCTGCATAGCCCGCAAGGACGTAACCCTTATTTGTTTTTATTTCCCAGGTCATTACAGCTACTCCGAGAACCGTGTAGAGAAAGACGGCCTGATCCTCACCAGCCGGGGACCAGGAACCAGCTTCGAGTTTGCTCTGAAGATCGTCGAGGTGCTGGTCGGCAAGGAGGTGGCCGACCAAGTGAAGGCCCCACTGGTTCTTAAAGATTAAGGTGGAGAGGCTTGATGATGGGTCAGAGAGACAGGCCATTTGTAATCCAGTCTCATTGTGTTCACTTTTAAAAGGGGGGGAAGTCATTGTGCAGAGTAGCTGTCTTCCTCACTCCCTCTCTGTCCATTTGTGGCTCTGAAATGACAGCTATGGAGAGATTCTGTTGTATCCTCCCATTTCTGAGCCTTGATTGCAGAATAAACAGGGCCTTTAGCAAACTACTGACTGTTCCTTCTTTTCTCCCTGGTCTCTGTTTTCTTGTGTGAAACCAAGTGGTATCAGCTTTGTCTGCAGCTCGTAACTATTGTTCAGTTGTGTCCAACTTTTTGCAGCCTCATGGACTGTAGCCAACCTGGCTCCTCTGCCCATGGAATTCTCCAGGCAAGAATACTGGAGTGGGTTGCCGTGCTCTCCTCCAGGGGATATTCCTGACCCAGGGATCGAACTCCGGTCTCCTCCATTGCAGGCAGGTTCTTCACCATCTGAACCATCAGCAAAACTAGTAGCTTGTAACTATTGATCCAGCTGCTGAAATAACTGAACAGGGGCCATGGTTCACACAGCAAGGTGGAAACACATAAAACAGACGAAAGAGGCTTGTGACTTCTCTGCGATTCATTAACTGTATCCCTGATGTGCTATTAAAAATACCAACGCTGTTGGCTTACTGGTGAATTTTTGTAAGTCAGTTCCTCGTCTCCCATTGCAGAAAAAGTCCTGAGATGGGAGTTGAGAACCTCTCAAGGCTAGCCTCGCCTGTTTTCCCCTTGTCAGGGAACAGCACCCAGCTCTTTCAGCTGCCCAGGTTCCTTGGTGGGGTGGGTGAGTTGAACGCCAGGGCATGGGCCCATCCAGTCAGAGCCCAACACACTTGATCACACAGCCCAGGTGAGACCCGTCAGCCAGTGAGATTCTGTTCTGGGACCTGCCCTACCTGCTGCGGTTCTGCCAGGTGCTCAGGAGGACTGGCCCTAGCGTGGCTCCAGAATGAGAGGCAGGAAGCTGAGGACGAGGCTTGACCCAAGATCTGTCTACACCTGAAGCAGGACAACTCCTGGACTTTTGAACACGTGTCAATTCCCTTGACTTTTGTGTTGGTGGAATCATTTTTATAAATGACTGATGAGATGGAAGTGAACTGATGGCAAAGTGCTGAGCTACTAAGTAAAACTGCCAACCAACGTGCGTTGCTGGGCGGCCTTGTCGTTGGCTGTCCTTCCTTTCCTCCCTTTCCTCCTGGGCACAGTATGGACATAAGTGAACTGTCTGAAAAGGCCAGGCCAGGTGGTAAGTACTTGAGGTGTGTGGGCTGTCACGCTTCCATCACAACTGCTCAGCCCTGACCAGGCTGCACAGAAGCACCCACAGCCAGCCATCAGGACCGCCGGGCAGCAAACCCCCCTTCACCAAACCAGGCAGCAGCTGAGCTGGGCCCTCAGGCTGCAGTTGGCAGATTGACTCCTGAACCAGAAGGGAAGGTAGATGTTCATTACTAAAAATACAAATAACTGCTTGTTGAGCTGCATGTTTTGATTAGCTCTGTGATGATGTAAACAGGATGTGAGGAGGGGGAACAGAAGAGACCTCGAGGGGTGGGGACCGCTGAGGCTTCAGCTGAGACCTGAGGGCAGGTCAGGCTCCATCAGCAACTGCCAGCGGTGCTGCACCTACAGTGTGCTGAGCCTGATCCTGGGGCTGGAGTAACAATGGGGAGACACGGTCTGTCCTAGATCTGTGTAGAGTTGTTCAGTCACTTAATTCTGTCTTAACTCTTTGTGACCCTGTGGACTGCAGCACGCCAGGCTGCTCTGTGCATCATCAACTCCCTGAGCTTACTCAAACTCGTCCACTGAGTCAGTGATGCCATCAAACCTTCTCGTCCTCTGTCATCCCTTTCTCCTCCTAACCTCAATCTTTCCCAGCATCAGGGTCTTTTCCAGTGAGTTGGCTCTTCACATCAGGTGGCCAAAGTATTGGAGCTTCAGCTTCAGCATCAGTCCTTCCAATGAATATTCAGGACTGATCTCCTTTAGAATTGACTGGTTTGATCTCCTTGCAGTCCAAGGGACTCTCAAGAGTCTTCTCCAACACCACCCTTGGAAAGCATCAATTCTTTGGCGCTCAGCCTTATTTATGGTCCAGCTCTCACATCAATACATGACTACTGGAAAAACCAAAGCTTTGACTAGACTGACCTTTGTCAGCAAAGTAATGGTCTCTGCTTTTTAATTTGTCATAGGTTTTTCATAGCTTTTCTTCTAAGGAGCAAGTATCTTAATTTCATGGCTGCAGTCACCTTCTGAAGTGATATTGGAACCCAAGAGAAGAGTCTGCCAATTTGCATTGTTTCCCCCATGTATTTGCCATTAAGTGATGGGACTGAATTCTATCATATTTGTTTCTTGAATGTTGAGTTTTAGGCCAGCTTTTCATTCTGCCCTTTCATTTCGTCATGAAGCTCTTTAGTTCCTCTTTGCTTCTGCCATAAGGGTGGTGTCAATCTGCATATCTGAGGTTATTGATATTTCTCCTGGCAATCTTGATTCCAGCTTGTGCTTCATCCAGCCTGGCATTTTGCATGGTGTACTCTGCATATAAGTTAAATAAGCAGAGTGACAATATACAGCCTTGACGTACTCCTTTCCCTATTTGGAACCAGTTGGTTGTTCCATGTCTGGTTCTGGCTGGTGCTTCTTGACCTGCATACAGATTTCTCAGGAGGCAGATAAGGTGGTCTGGTATTCACATCTCTTGAAGAATTTTCCACAGTTTCTTGTGATGAACACAGTCAAAAGCTTTAGCGTAGTCAATGAAGCAGAAGTACATTTTTTTCTGAAATTCTCTTGCTTTTTCTATGATCCAAAATGGATGTGTGGGGTTGGGAGAGAGGAAAAGATCTACATTCTATGTGGAAAAGCAGAGAGAAGAGGCAGTGACAGACTGTTCGCAGGGTGTGTAGAGAGGCCTCTTTGAAAAAGGACCTGGGGGGGAGACCTGGTATCTGCTGAGAGCATTCCAGGAAGAAGAAACTGGGAGATCTAAGGCCCTGCAGCTCGAGTGAGGCGGAGCACTGGGTTGCGGAGGGCTCGCTTGAGGGGTGGGGTTGGAGAGGGAGCTGGTGCCACCGGGAATGGTCAGAGGTGGGCCCTGACCCTTTTTGGTCTAGAAGTCGGCTCTGTTGAGAGAGGACCCCGTGGGGAGCAAGAATGAGGACCCCAGAGGTGGGCACCCATGTGGGTAAGAGGGAAGCCATTTCCAAGATTCCATCTTGAACACAAAGTCACATGGAGGCTGTGTTCTTAGCCAGAGAAGGAGCCCTTGTAGTAGGCTGGTGAATTTGGAGTTCAGATCAATGAATTTGAAAGGTCTGTATATACTTTCAATGAACAGAGACTCAAAATCTGTTATGTTGAAAGTCACAAATTACTGACATTTATTATTATTCATTATTAACAGTGAACATTAAAAACTCTTGCAGTACTTCCCTGGCAGTCCAGGGGTTAAGACTCCAGTTCTACTGCTGGGGGTGTGGGTTTAATCCCTAGTTGGGAGAGTGAGATCCTGCATGCCTTGGGGCCAAAAAAGAAAAAGGAAACAAATTGATTATTTGGTTTAAAAAAACAACAAAGCTCTTGCAAGTCACAAGCATATTGAACCAGCAACCCCCACCTCTGATTCAGCTCCCTGAAATTTGAGTGATCTGCAGGAAGGGGGCAAGGAAAGGTGATTCCAAATGGACAAAAGGGAAAGAGTATTTTTAAGAGGCTAGGTTATCAGAGTCCAGGAGATGCAGTGATTTTTTTTCCCTCTGTGTTTTGGGTGCGGGTTCCAGGATCTGCTTTATCTAAACTTTGGGCCTTTTCTGGCCAGGTCAGGAATTACTGGCTTTAGGCATATTGATAACATTTAGCTGCCTCCACCCTCTCTAACTGCCAGCTTCTTTCCTAGGCTAAACACACCTAATCTCTTCCTTCTAGGAAGTAAAGGTGGGAGGGGGCCATGTTGACCAGAAAGAGAACTTGGAACCTGAGGAGGGGTGCTGTCCACATTTCCAAGTGATCTGGACTTGAAATTGAGGTGTGTGGTCCATCCAGCTGGACAGGCTTCCTCCTCACTCAAGGGTCACCCCACTTTGGGCATCACTTCCTTCACTCTCGACATTACTTTGCCAACAAAGGTCTGTCTAGTCAAAGCTATGGTTTTTCCAGTAGTCATGTATGGATGTGAGAGTTGGACCATAAAGCAGGTTGAGCGTTAAAGAATTGATGCTTTTGAACTGTGGTGTTGGAGAAGGCTCTTGAGAGTCCCTTGGACTGCAAGGAGATCAATTCAAACCAGTCAATCCTAAAGGAAATCAGTCCTGAATATTCATTGGAAGGACTGATGCTTAAGCTCCAATACTTCGGCCATCTGATGCAAAGAGCTGACTCATTGAAAAAGACCCTGATGCTGGGAAAGATTGAAGGCAGGAGGAGAAGGGCACGTCAGAGGATGAGATAGTTGGATGGTATCACCAACTCAATAGACATGAGTTTGAGCAAGCTTCGGGAGTTGGTGATGGACAGGGTAGTCTGGTGTGCTGTGGTCCATGGGGTCACAAAGACTTGAGGAGGGGTGCTGTCCACATTTCCAAGTGACCTGGATTTGAGCAATTGATCTGAACTCCTTCATGCTCACCTTTGTGGCTTTGGGAGCCCCGGTGCCTGCCCAAGGCCGCTTGCAGAATTAGGGAGGAGGTGGGGTCTGGAAATCAAGTCTCACCCAGAGTCCTTGACTGAAAGGAGCAAATCCCTCTTGCAGAAAGTGGCTCTGAGACCCTGACCTACAACTCTGGGTCACCGCCTTCCTAGCTGCTTCACTGGTCCAGAGGTGGCCAGGCTGCCATCCCCGAGGCGCTGGGCAGTGGTGCCCCAGGGAAGCGACAGCCAAACTGCTCTTCCGCAGGGGGTTGGTGATTGTGATTTGGATTCTTGGTGAAAGCCTGATGAATGAAATGAAGGAAGGGCTGTGTCCCAGGTGCTGAATAGAGCAGGGAGGGCCCAGGGCTGACTGGATGGCTAACTCTGACTCTTTTCGACCCCATGGAGTGTAGCCTACCAGGTTCCTTTGTCCATGGGATTATCCAGGCAAGAATACTTGAGTGGGTACCCATTGCCTTCTCCAGGGGATCTTCCTGACCCAGGGATCTAACCTAGGTCTCGTGCATTGCAGGCAGATTCTTTACCATCTGAGCCACAGGGAAGCCTTAACGTTTCACAACTGATACAAAAGGAACCCTTACATTTGTCACTATTTTGTCCTTTTTTTTTTTTTTTTTTTACTGATTATCTCTCTTTCAAAAAAAAACTATTTATTTGTTTTTGGCTATGCTGGGTCTTTGTTGCTGCGTGAAGCCTTTCTCTAGTTGTAGAGAGTGTGGGCTACTCTTCATCGCTGCGCTTGGTCTTCTCATCTCGGTGGCTTATCCTTTGCAGAGCACAGGCTCTAGGGAACTCGGCTTCAGTAGTTGCAGCACAGCGGTTGCCCTGAGGCGTGTGAGATCTTCCTGGACCAGAGATCAAACCCATGTCCCCTGCATTGGCAAGCAGATTCTTAACCACTGGACGACCAGGGAAGCCCTCGCTGATCACATCTTAGGTAAATTTTCTCTACTGATTT